GTAGAGTGAAGCATGATCTCAAGGAGATCTTTCAGCTGTTTCCTGTTTGCTTTCGGCTTGTTGTACAGTGCTAATTTGGTTTCTGCTGGAGATATAGTTCACCATGATGACTCGCTTCCACAGAGACCTGGTTGCAATAACAATTTCGTACTGGTGAGATAATTGATCGAATCAGCTTTGATTTTGCTTTAAGCTCTTACCTCGTTTCTTCGTGTGTCGCTTGATGATTTCCAGTTTTATTGGTATAGTTTAGGCTTCTGTTGAGTTTCAGATTGAAAATAGGGTTTTGAGTTTCCGTAATCTCAAAGTAGTGAATTAGTCTGTTGATTGCTCTCCTCGCCTAATTTTTGTTCTTGCAACAGATAGAGAATTTGGATTTGTAGACTTTAGAGGAACTTTGGATTTGAGATTTTTTATGTCATTCAGATTTGTTCGGAACTAAGATCGGCGAGGTTGTAATAGCCATTGGATACCTTAACCATTGTTTTTAGTTGTTGTGGAACTCATACTTTTTATGTATTGAGCTAATTTACTTTCTTCATATGTTGCTATAGTACTTATCATTGATAGATCTAAGACTCTTACTCTCTGCATTGAGCCAATTTAGTTTCCCTGTGATGTGTACTTTCAAAGTTAGCAGATCATATTCGAACATATAACTACAACACAATTCCATGGACAGGTTAAAGTCCCAACTCGAGTTAATGGATCAGAATATGTGGAGTATGTTGGTGTTGGTGCTAGGTTTGGTCCAACCTTGGAATCAAAGGAGAAACATGCTACCCTCATAAAACTTGCTATTGCAGACCCTCCTGATTGTTGCAGCACACCCAAAAATAAGGTTGAAATTCCCTCTGTGTGTCAATTTGGAAATTTTGAAATTCCCTCTTTGTATGTCAGTTTCTACTCTGTATCTTTCTTCTTGATCACTTGTGTAATTCCATTTTTAATTCTGGTTAATTTTCTCTTGTAGCTTACCGGAGAGGTCATTCTTGTTCACCGTGGTAAATGCAGTTTTACCACCAAAACAAAAGTAGCTGAAGCAGCTGGTGCCTCAGCCATCATTATAATAAACAACAGTACAGGTAATCAACTGAATCTTGTCTGTAAATTCCTCCTCTTGTAGTAATTTGATGTGGTTACGCATAGATAGAATTTTAGCTATCATGTTCAGTTTTGCAAGGTTGAATGTTGTTTTGTAGATCTTTTCAAGATGGTCTGCGAGAAGGGTGAAAACGTTTTAGATATAAATATTCCTGTTGTCATGCTACCCGTTGATGCTGGTAGAGATCTGGAGGTTATCGTCAGCAGTAACAGCACTGGTAAATCTTAGTTTGGATCCAATTTTACTTCAGAACAGGCTGGTCTTTTTCGTGAGTTGTTATTGTCTTCTAGCATATCTTCTTCTAGTTTTGGCCTCTCTCGCTCTCTTCTTCAATGTTGTTGTTGACTGTATTTGTTCAGTTACTTTGCAGCTCTACTCGCCGAAACGTCCAGCAGTTGATGTAGCTGAGGTCTTTCTATGGCTTATGGCTGTCGGTACAATTTTATGTGCTTCTTATTGGTCTGCGTGGACCGTCAGGGAAGAAGCTATTGAGCAAGACAAGCTGCTAAAGGTGAGCGTTGGCAATCAGAACTTTATATTGTGGACATTCACCATGGTCGAGCCTTTTGACGGTCCAAGGAAAAATGAAGTCCTTTCTCTCAGTTTTTTGTTGTTAATCTTAACTGCAGGATGGATCAGATGAGCTTTTGCAGTTATCGACCACCAGCTCTAGAGGGGTTGTTGAAATCACTGTGATATCAGCAATTTTGTTTGTAGTGGTTGCTTCTTGTTTCCTGATCATGCTCTACAAGCTTATGTCATTCTGGTTTATAGAAGTGCTGGTGGTACTCTTTTGCATAGGTGGTGTAGAGGTCAGAACATTTATCCTCTGACCAGTTGAATTCATAGCATTACCCAATTGAAACCATCTTGTTACTGATATTGAAAGTTCTGTTGCTGCTATCAGGGGCTGCAAACCTGTTTGGTTGCTTTACTCTCATGGTATGTGTATTTCTTTTTCTCATTAACTTATGCCCTCGGGAACATGTTTTGCCCTTTTTTGCTTTCCTAAGAGCTGTCGAGGGTAAACTTACGATGGACACGAGCCCTGATGAGCTGGATACCATAAGAAACACCCCTAATCCCAGTTCATTATTGGTTGATCTCTTATCGAACCACCTATTTTCTGCATTGTCTGGATTTCAGGGCTTGTTTTAGCATGAACTAAAGGAACCATTAAATAACTGTTTTTGTGTAAAACAATGAATATGAAATGCTAGAGCTGTTGGCTTTGATTTTCTTCCTTAAATTCTTTCTGCGTTGTAGAAAGTAAAAGTTGGATATATCTGCAGGCTTTTTTGTTAAACAAAAAAAAACACTGGGACTGATGTTGGATTTACTATAGTTTCAGATGGTTCCGCCGCTTTGGAGAATCATATATCAAAGTTCCCTACCTGGGTGCTGTCTCATACCTGACGCTCGCTGTTTGTCCCTTTTGCATAACATTTGCTGTTATGTGGGCAGTTAAACGCCAATTCTCCTTTGCTTGGATAGGGCAAGATATACTTGTAAGCACAACCATCCATTTATCTCTCTTAACTTGCTTCAGTTTGAGTCCATGTTTTTCGAGAAGTGTACGCAAACGCCATGTACATACGTTCATGCGATATATAGCAATTGGTGTTGGGTTGACCTATTTTGTATGTCTAACAAATGACAGAAGGTAACAGCTTAATTTACTTTTTCTTGCTGACAGGGGATTTCATTGATAATCACGGTTCTTCAAATCGTCCGTGTACCAAATCTTAAGGTAATACCCACTTCCTTTGTGAATGTCTCATGGGCTTTCCATCACAATCATGATTGCACCAACCTTATAATGACGGTTCCAGTGTATATATTCTACCTATGAGCTTAAGAGCTTTTCACACCTCATAAACAAGCTTTAAAATTTTGAAGATTCAACAATCCAAACCAATTAGTAGTTATGACAATCTTTTCTGCCAATGTCTATAAGACCCTGTCTTTTGTAACATTACTAGTTATTATGATAAATTCATGGAACGTGAATGTTAACAGGTCGGATTTGTTCTTCTCAGTTGTGCCTTCATGTATGACATCTTCTGGGTTTTTGTGTCAAAATGGTGGTTCCGTGAAAGTGTGATGATTGTGGTAAGTTTTTTCTTGCATTTCCTTCTGCTTCAGAACACTGTTTTCATTCACTCAAGTAAATGCAAGATGTTCCAACAACACACACTTCTCTGTCTGCTCCACATTGATGTTTTCCCCACCTATAGGTAGCKCGTGGTGACAGAAGCGGAGAGGACGGCATTCCAATGCTACTAAAGATCCCACGTATGTTTGATCCTTGGGGTGGCTACAGTATCATTGGATTTGGTGATATCATCTTACCGGGACTGCTTGTAGCTTTTGCACTGAGGTTTGCACTACTAAAATTCCCTCGCGCTGTTTCTATGTTTTGCACATTTCTTCACCTTATTACTATATCAAGTTGTCAACTAAACTGGGATATTAGAAGCATACTATAAGCTTAATGAAACGAAATTGCATGAAACTGGGATGTTTTCAGGAGATCCATCTTATCATTTTCAGTAATGAAAAGAAGTTTGCCTTTTTGCCTTTCCTACACTGTGTTTTGAGGCAGAGGAAGTTTTCTGATCAAACAATGCTCCGTTTCTGCAGATACGACTGGTTGGCGAACAAGAAGCTGAAGTCAGGATACTTCCTTGGGGCAATGTCTGCCTATGGTCTAGGTACGATGTGGTTGGTGGTGTATACATCCCTCAAGAAAAAAGAATCCAGAATCTAACACGTCTCTTTTGACAACCACAGGTCTTCTCATAACTTACATTGCTCTAAACTTGATGGACGGACATGGGCAACCGGCTTTGCTTTACATCGTCCCATTCATACTTGGTAAGTCCTCGGATGGATCTTTGAATTTGTGAACCATGGAAAGTGTTGAATCTAAGAATGTTTGGGGTGCAATGTGAAGGTACTTTGATGGTGTTAGGTCACAAGAGAGGTGACCTGAAGACACTATGGACAACAGGGGAACCCGAGAGGCCATGTCCTCACGTTCGACTTCAACCTCAAACTTAAAAAAAAACCTATAAAGATGAGATGAGATGATGATTCTCTAGTTTTATTGTTAATACACACACTTGTTAGGTTTATATATATATATGTATCTGTACCCTTTACAGAAACCAAACAGAGCCTACATACACTCTTTCTCTTAACCTTTTTTTTTTAACCTCTTGTCAGTGTCTTGCGTTTTTTCCTATCAAAGAAAAACAAAGAATAGAGTGGGTAATTTTTCTGAGGATTTTTTTTTTTTAATCTAGCTATCCAATAAATGGAAAACATGCTAAAAACAAATTTTATAAAATTGCTTCTTTCTACCTTTATTATAATTTTTCCAAAACAATACTCTTGCAATTTGGAGGTTGTGGAGAAGGAAGCTCTTGGTTTTGATATTGGCCCGAATTTGATAGAAGAACATGAAAATATCTTATCAATTTAAATGCTAACAGTTTTTCTCGAAATGTACTGGATTTATATTTATAATTTGGTATTTAATTAGTTAAATAAAGTATCATCTTTATTCACAACTTTAACTTTGAAATTGTCTTTTTGTATATTTGCTTTATGTTGCGGATTATTTCCCAAGTATCCCCCCAACACCCACTAATTATAAAGAAAGTCTATTTTAATTGACCCGTACGACAAAAGTCATCATCAAGTCAAGAAAAGAAAAACAATAGAGAGTCTTCACTTTTAAGAGTCTCTCCGATCATCGTACTGAAGCAGACGATCTCGGTCCTCGGTAAGATCCTCCTTTCAGTCTGAATTGGTATCAAAATCATTTTTTTTTTCCAACGATTAGTGAAAGTGTTTCTCAATCATCATCGCTTCTCGGCTAGGGATTGTTATATCAATTTGAAGATTGATCGGCTTGATTGAATCTTTTGAAATGGTCTCTCTGTTTCAGTTGTGAGATTGAGTTTTGAATTTTGAATAGTATATCTTTTGTTAGTTGATTCAGTATATAGAAAACTGTCTTCTTTTTGTGATTAGGGTTTTAAGGCTTAGGGTTGAAATAAGATGTTGATCTTGTTTGTAGTCTTAGGACTCAGACATGTCTTATTAAGTTTGATATTGGTGTTGAATCACTGTTGTCTCAACGATTTTTCTTGAATTGGATTTAGTGAAATAACACTACAACTTTTGGTTGTGACAGGTTGAGTAGAGTAATGGCGGAAGCAGCAGAAAAGGCGGCTTTCCTCGGGGGTCTTGTTGTGACATTCAAGGAGCAAATGCACACTGATGTTCTAGTTAAACCTGGTGAAGATGGTCCAGCCATACCAACACACAAAGCTGTTCTGGTAACTTCTTTATCTTTTACCTTATCAGAGAGATACACTCTGGTTTCTAAGTTACGGTTCCACAGTCTCAAGACATTATATTTAAACACATGCTCTAGATTATGGTACGATTTGATGATGGTAAATGATGACTCTGTTTTAACATTCACACGGTGACCCCTTCTCGGATCTCGCTTTGATTGTTGCTTCATTAGAATCCCTTACCAAATTCAAAGTTTTCTGAATCGCATTGCAGTAAACTCTTTAAATATCTTTGTTTTGTCTGTGTAGGCGGCAAGATCAAAGGTGTTCATGAACATGCTAGATTCTGATGAATGCAAGACCTCATCCGAGGAATCAATCACTCTCCCGGACTTGACTCACGAGCAACTCAAATCACTTCTCGAATTCCTCTACAGCGGAAACTTAAACGCTCCATACAATCAATACCGAGCGCTCTATCTTGCTGCAGATAAATACGACATTCCATATCTGCAAGACACATGCCGAAACCATTTCATTGCATCTCTGAGCTCGAGGAACGTCCTAGACATCTTAGAGCTCGCCAGTATCCCTTCTGATACAATCTTGAAAGACGCAGCGATCAATCATATTGTAAAACACATGGAAGAAGTTGTTGTTCCGATGAAATACGAGACTTTTGTGCAGAGGAACCCGGATCTAAGCGTGGAGATCACTAGGGCCTATCTAAGAGAGACCAAAGCTAAAGCCAAAGATCATGTACCAAACAACTATAATCGCCCTCGCATGTTCTGATGAACAAACAGCTAAGCACAAATCCATCTCACTTGCTAAAGGTGATGGG